GATTTTAATCCTGAGAACAAAATTATGAAAGAAAAATTAAAAATTGAAATGTGGAAATCAAAAGTGCTTCATGGAAAATACCCGAACCAACAACAGCAGGAACATGTAGATACAGAAGCTTCTAATATGTGGTTAAAAAAAGGAAACATATTCTCAGAAACTGAGGGATTCATGATAGCGATTCAGGACAAAATAATAAAAACAAAAAACTATGAAAAATATATTATTAAAAATCCCACAATTTCATCAGACACATGCCGAGCATGCAACACATCTCGCGAAACAATTGACCACATCACTGGGGGTTGCTCATTTTTAGCTAGCCGACAATACCTCGACAGGCATAATAATGTTGCTAAACAGATACACTCGCTGTTAGCCAAAAAGTTTAAACTCATAGATCAGATAGAGCCCTACTACAAATACGAACCACAAGATATGTCAGAAAACCACTTAGCCAAGTTATATTGGGATAGAGACGTAATTACAGATAAAACAGTTAATCATAACAGATCTGATATCACACTGACCATCAGAGACACTAAAACGACCTACCTAATAGATGTTGCAGTACCAAACACTGAAAATCTTAAACAAAAACATATTGAGAAAATTCAAAAGTATATTCCATTAGCAGATGAAATAAAAGACATGTGGAATCAGAACACAGTTCGAATTATTCCAATAATAATATCATCAATAGGCGTTATACCTAAAATATTACACGCTAGCCTAGCCGAGTTGAAACTGCATAAGTTTACGTACATAAGTCTACAGAAATCGGTAATCCTTGATACATGCGGAATAGTGCGTAGATTTCTTAACAGTACTGACATATCCCCCTTTTCAGAAAACACAACAGGTTAAATAAGAAGCAGAGTTTTTAATACTCACTGATCATATTTTGGGGTAAGAAGAACCGTTAGCTCCCTAAATTTTAAGAACAGAAAATTGGTTTCTATATCCCAAAAGATGTGAGTGAGGTTCTTTGGCATTAGCCCGTCTTCACTTGCTTAAAGTTACCAGTGCAAACTGAGAAGACCAGGAAAATAATACCAAAGGTTATTTATAAACCTACAACACTTTAGAAGTTTTGTACGGTATAATTTGGCAATGATTTGACTACATACACAAATTTTGCAGTGTAGTTTTAAATGGTATATAATTTTTTATTTGTTTGAATTAAAAGTCAAGTACATTTATTTCTTTGCATTTTTTGTTTAGAACTAAATGAATACCGACCTATAGTTTATACTGTAATCCATTGTTTGTATGGTACTGAAAATCACTAGAGCCTTGACAGAGACCGTAAATTTCCGTTTGAAACTTTTCGTCAGGGAAGAAAAACTAGCAATGATCAAGTGAAATTGGTTTTTATCAATAGCAAATATAAATATAGGAGACAAAAAATTAGAAGTGGCTGAGTTTAGGTATCTAGGAAGTCAGATAAGTCAGGACGGAAGGAGTAGTAAGGATATAAAGCAGAGTATAGCGCAGGGTCGAGTGGCCTTCAATAAAAAGAAGTCACTTCTATGCTCGCGAACGATTAATTCAGAAATTCGGAAAAGATTGCTAAAGGTGTATGTTTGGAGCGTGGAGCTGTACGGGTGCGAAACATGGTCGTTTGAAGCATTCGAAATGTGGTGTTATAGGCGAATTATGAGGATACCGTGGATAGAGAAGGTTAGAAAGAATAGGAGAATAGAGGACTCTGTGGAAGTTAATAAGAAATAGGCGAGATGGGTTGGTAGGACATCTTCTCAGGCATGAAGGTCTAGTCAGGGACATATCAGGACATATTAGGATGTTATAATCCTAATAGGAGTAGGTATATCGGACTACTTGCGTTAATGAAGATCTCTAAAAATTTACGGAAGTCCCAGCATGTCAATCAACCTTGCACTTTATTGTTTTGTTTAATTGTTTTCAACCAGCAGGAAATAATTTTAATTTTTAAAAATTTATTCACCTAGGTACTTACCTAAAAAAATGAAATACCAAATGACGCCGAACACACAATTGTAAACCATATTCGTCAAAATAAAAAATATCTTATGCGAGTCGTATTATAAACCAACTAAAACTAATACTCTTGCCTATAGCCTACGTCAACTATAACTATGTATGCGTCCACCTCTCGTAACAATAGTCGTTTAACACTAACTACCAGAAGGTGAAAACTGAATGTTTATATATGTACTTTTCATTACCATTTAATCAACAAGATCGATCCCAAAAAATCGTACCTTTTGTTATTAAACATACTTTCGCTCTCGTAGCGTCTGACAGTGAACAATCGACTCACCATTGACCACGCTTGTTTTAAAACAAATTCTGAATTCAACAAATGGAAACCATAAGTAACAAAATATTGAAAAATCAGAGCCAAATGGGGTACATAAAAACTATTTTATTGTCGAAAACAACAGCTGAATGTATTTTGCCTTAACAGTATGAGACTTCTTCAGCCATTATTTAATCTAATCTGGAGAAGCCTCATCCAATGAGAAATAGAAATTGGTATTTTGTATTTTGAATTTGACGTATTTCAAATGCCTTAATCACATCCCTAAATGTTACTCATTATAAAGGACATTCTTATAGCGACTCCAAATTCTGAAATAACTAACGTTTCTTTCAATTTTTACTAGTCGCTGTATTATGAACTAGTTTATTGTTCTATTTAGGAAGCAGGAATTTCAATTGATAACAGGGTGAATTATAGAGCTTAGGATTTCCAAACCTTTTACATATTTTATGTTGAAGCTTGCAGGGGTAACTCATACTTGGAGCATTAGTTTTCTGTCTTTCTTCGGATCTAGCCCATGGTTGTTTCTGGGATTAACGGAATTGTCTCGTATTTTAGTGCCCTGTAAGACATCCAACAATTGAAAGAAAATCCATGAATTTTTTGATATTTTTCCTTCGTTGAAGGTTAGTTTAAGATTGAAGGTGCCTGGTTATTCTTCCACTTCATCCTTTATGTAGAAGCCTCTTTTTAAGAGTACATAGATCTAGTCGAATTTGTGTATGAATGTAATGCATGGATACACTCTATATTTTTTTGTGGATTTTTCAATAATTGTATTATAAAACTACATAATTAAATGCACAGATTTACGATTAGTTCCTATTTTCAAAGCAAAAAGCTTATAAATAGGCTCTTCTATATACGTATGTATATTTATTATTCATACCTGATAGTATCATGTACATTGTGTGAGAAATGAAGCGTTTTTTTTTAAACTACATTAATAACTCTCAGTTCAGCATATGATGATCCAAATTAAATTTCTCTTTGAATGTACGTAAAGAACCGCATTTTACAAAGCTAACCGGAAAAATTAAATTTGTTGATCAATAAATTTTTAAACGCTGCCATTGTTACTGATTTCGATTGTTATGTGGTAACGCTTGACCTATTGTTAAGCATTAAATTGAAGACTTGTTATATAACGGAAGAAGAATTTTTTGATAATATGTTAAAGTTAATAATGAATGCGTTTAATACTTTATACTGTGGTTTAGTCAAAGGATTGATTCATGGTACTGATATTTTCTAATAAATAAACATATTACATAGTCGTATTATATGTATTTGATAATAGATTATTGACTTAAAAAATACGGAAGTTATTTGCATCTTTTCATGGAAATTCTTCATAGAAGTGTGAATTCTTCACTTACATAATTGTATACTTATAATTACTCTTAGAAAAAGCGAAATACCTCATTGAAAATTTGAAATATTAGATACGATAATTATTACCTTTTCCTGAAAGAACATTGAATCATCAATCAAATCAAATAGAAATTTCTTACATTAATAATGTTGAGTTGTTATAGTACCAAGTTATTGGTTGTTTAACGCCATCTAGGTATTTACTGCTAAGTGTTGTAACGTTCAAATGTTTAACAAGGGCCCTACGAAGGTATAGTAGCTGTCTCTCTGTGTATAGTTGGGACGTTTAAAATTGACATAGTCCGTAATAAAACTGTCGCATTTATTTTCTTCTTGCAACTTACTAACTTTACTAGAGCGGTTGATGGCAGAACGCCTGCTTTTAACCACGACAGACGTTGTAGAGATTATCGTAAACATAGAAAAGAGATGTGAGATAGGAATTGCAGCGGTCACTAATAAAGAAAAGGGAATAACGTTGCACCAACTAATGTGTAACAGAAAAAGATGCAGACAAGCAGAATTTGAGCATGGCGCCAGCATCAGACATTAATTCTCAGGAATTTAGGAAAGAAGAAATGCCTGTTTAAAGATAGAATTCAACCAGGTAGTTAAAAAAGCCGATTCTGATGTTTGACGTACCTAAGCATCCTCTAACCGCTGCACCGTTTACTGTTATTCGGTTATCTCTTTTCATTTTGTTTGTACTACTTATGAAACATTTCCTAACTTAATAAGAACGTGTTCAAAACGCAGCAAATGACTACAGTCCCAAGTGGAAATAAGAAAGAAGATACGTCCATTCTCACAGATAATTTACCAATTTTGATCTTCCCAACTACACCTCTGTTTTAATTAAACTATGAAAAAATTAAACGGAGGTAAGGCGATAAATTAGGAGAATATATTGAAAATGATGTTTCTCAATGTAAGTTACTCATTTCAAACTCAATTTTATATTTGTACTATTGTACTCGCAGTCCATTTGCCCGCTTAGTGAGAATTGCATTTATGTTGGCAATCATGGTTACTTGTGACTACATCTTGACGTCACATTGAATCTTGACAGGTCTAAGTTTCTGGAAATTATAATCAGGAAGAAATTAAGCAATAGAAAACAGTGCAATGCATATACCAATTTAGGATTCCGGACTTTATTGATCTTTTACCTAATTAAATGTTTTAAAGCTAAAAATACTTTAACAACTTTTTATTAATAGGCACCAGTGCTTTGCTAATGTAGCGTCCTCTTTTTCTTAAGTACTTTCTAGGTATTACCTTAGATATATGTTCTTTTCTTGTTTACATTACTATGGTTTGAATGACTTTAATGGAGAATCTAAGGCTTTAAAAGAAAACGGATAACGGAAAAGTAAATTGTTCTTATTGTAGTAACTACCATTTTAGAAGTTTTTGCGGTTAGTAAGCTAGACTAGCTGGTATGCGGAATAGTTTACGAATGCTCACAAGCAAGTCTAGATTTATCTGTATTTTCAGCAGCTTGTATCGGTACAATAATTAATAAAAAGCAGTATCTAAGCTATGTGCTTAAACTTAAAAGCTAATTATATACTGATATGATATTGATTAAAATGCCAACATTAACAATCAAATCGAAAGTATATATGATGACATTGTAAAGCTGTGTACAATGCTCGGCCTAAGACAGGTTAAGCGTTAAGGTGAGAAAAAATTATTAATCCAGTTAAAAATGCTTCACACTATTTTACAAGATGAAAGTTATAAATCTGCGCAAATAATAATTTCTTATAGACAAAGTGAACCATTTAATTTTTTCTCCGCTGAATACCATGTCACAATGAACTGACAGGCCTCCATGAAATCCATTAAAAAGTTTTTGTACCATTCTAGTGACAATTTGACTTTGTTTTAGTAGCTAAGTTGTGTGGCTAGTCGCTTGTGTTATGATATGACATTATTTATTATTATTACATAATTTCTTTAATCTGAATACTGGTACCGACCAGCGGGCAATATCATTTTTTTTTGTATTGAAAAAAACAAACAAGATGGCGGTAGTTGTAGGTTGGTAATACGCGTTGTACTCGACATTGTCATTGAAGAGAAAGTTTCGATTCAATTAATTTTTGTACCGACCTGCTGGTTCCGACTGACCGATTCCAGAAATGTTGCATCCACTGTAATAACGCCAGTGGCGGGTGACAAATTAAAATAGAGCTCGTCCATAGTCTCGATCATGTAAAGTGGTTGCTCCAAGAGATTTGTAAGTGTATTTTGTCGAATGATATTTTGATAAAGAGCACGACCCGAACTTTATTCAGTGACAATGTTAAGGGTCGATACATTTTGAGTCTGTTATTGTAGCTGAGGTAGAATCATTAACTTTAATGCTGATGTTTTCCTCAAGTACTTAATCATTGTTCTAAATTTTGAATAAAATTGTAGCTCAGAAAAGAGACGTTTTTGATTTAGTGATGCTTCTCTTTATACTATTTGTATTGCACTAAAATGATAGCGATAAGGTGGTAAACATATAGCTTCATGGTCACGATTACTTTTTTACTAAACTGTTAACTTCATTTTTAAAAAAACTGTCTCTAGTGTAATTCCCTATTCCTTTAACCAAACAAAAAATGTCATCCTTTGTCCATGCTGCTGTGGGTAGTTTTTCCATTACGCGAGAATGATAAGAGGCATTATCCTAAATCTGGAAACATCTTTAGTGCAGCATCATCCAGCTATTCCTTGAAATGTTGAGAGTTGATACTGAAGAAGGCCCTTCAGCAAAGCCATCAGTAGAGCTAGTATGTACTATAATGTAACAAACCTCATCACTATTTTTCAATGGAATTTGAAAGCAGTACGTAGATCCCCTGCCATGAAGATTTATTTATTTGTATCTTTCAAGAATACCCACGTTTAGTCTATAAAAACGACCGATTTTGGACAGCTCGATTTCAGATTTGATGGACACAGGGTCACTCTATTGTCACCGCGTTTATATTTGAATCCTAAAGATTTCAAAAACCTTACTATTGATGACCATGAAATTTCCGTGTTTCCGTTTTTCGAATTTAAATTCAGTACCATTTCATGTGTTTCATATTATCATATTTAGGCGTAGGGTAAACCTTTCGCTTTTGGATAACTCCTATTCGTTATTTTAGGTTTCTAAGTGTTCCTTATGGTGCTAAGCATATCTGCCAAAGAAGATAATTGTAAAAAATAACAGATGAACAGATATCATGTTGGGTTTTTATTGATCAATGCATGACTTAAATCAGGATTAATTTTAAACATGTACCAGTTGTACAATAAAGATGTCTTCGCTACTAATGCAGGTATTTTTCTGAGTAACGTACTAACGAGTCACCACTGAATGCGATAATGCCATGGTAAACTCTTTTTATTTTGAAGTTAACCAATTTGCCCTCAAAATAATGTGGATAAGGATTTAAAAAATACATTCAAATTTTTTTATGTTTTAATTAACCTTTTGTAATATTCTCTCGTTTCGCTTCGTAAAGGAACGAAATATGAATGTTTTAAAATTCAAAATATTGTTAATAGAGGTTAATTAAACCTTTTAACGAGTTGTATCGTGTAATTAAATTAATGAGTCCAGAAAATTGACCCTTTTCTAACATTCTCTAAACACTTGTGTTCGTTGTTAGTTTGTAACTGTTCGTTATTAACAGTCGTTTGCATTTCTCTTGTTAATTTATAAAAAATTAAACAAATTTTTATTCTCAATCTGGTTCCTTTAAGTATGTAGAATAATAAATATTTTTGCCTTTAATTAATCAATTGACGTTCAGTATCGTTTGTTGGATTATCTCCTATCTTTCTACCATGCATGAATAAAACAGTCTAGCTTCATTACCAAGCAGAGGCACAAGATGGAAGTTTTGTTTTCCAATTTATGTGGCATAGGAAAACATATTTATCCACTACATTTATTTATAACTAACAAATAAAGCAAAATTTTCATCTTTTTTTAAAATTTATGAGTATGTGTAAATTATAAATTGAAAGTGGCTTCACGCTGTTTTTTAAACATTTAATCTGCATTTTAATTTGCATTTATTGTTCAATAATGTATGTAAAGCATGCTTCCTTAATCGTTTATTTAGTAGGTGTTAACGCATTAAAATTGTAATACGTCAGGCAAAACACCTAAGGGAAATATTAATGGACAGCAAACATTAATTTATGTTGGTCATGTATGTATTTATAGTCTGAATGTAAAGGGTTCTTTTTAGTACCCATGATTAATAGAAAGAGTGTAGCTTCCACGAGATCTTTAACAAATTATTTTTATGGTTTTTAAGTACATTTAGAGAGATTCAAATCAATTAAAAGCATTTTTCAGTCTAGAGGTTTTCCAATGTTAGAACTGCTTTTTCATGCATGGATTGTTTTCGCTATTTTCGCCAATGAGAATAGTAAAGATCTTTTATTTTTTTAAATCTCACTTAAATTCTATTAGCACCACAACATTATACGCACTTTTATATACGATAATCACCGTTTGAATCTATTGCAATAACTTCAAACTCCACGTAATTTTACCAGCGCTTTTTCTTGTTTGAATTATTTGATCTGTTTTAACCAATAATAATACCATGGACCCTTTATTTCAAATGGTTCCATGAACTTTTATACATGATAATCACGGTTTGAAGCTAATGCAATAATCTCAATATCCTCGTAATTTTACAACAGCTTTTCATGTTTGGATTATTTCACCTATTTTAAGCAATAATCATACCGTAGATCCTTTATTTCAAATCGTACCAAAAATCAGTTAATACCACAAAATTCTACGATCTTTTGTACATGATATTCACCGTTTGAAGCTTGTGCAATAATTTTAATTTCTTCGTAATTTTACGAGCGCTTTTTCATGTTTGGTTTATTTTATCTATTTGAACCAATAATCATACCGTAGATTCTTTACTTCAGATCGTACCAAAAATCTGTTAACACCACAAAATTCCACAAATTATTATATACGATAATCACCGTTTGAAGCTCGTGCAATAATTTTAATTTCTTCGTAATTTTACCATATTTTCATCTTTGGATTATTTGATCTATTTTAACCAATAATCATATCGTAGATCCTTTACTTCAGATGGTACCAAAAATCTGTTAACCCTACAAAATTCCACGAACTTTTATACATGATAATCACCGTTTGAAGCTCGTGCAATAATTTTAATTTCTTCTTAATTTTACGAGCACATTTTCATCTTTGGATTATTTGATCTATTTTAGCCAATAATCATACCGTAGATCCTTTACTTCAGATCGTACCAAAAATCTGTTAACCCTACAAAATTCCACGAATTTTTGTACATGACAATCACAGTTTGAAGCTCGTGGAATAATTTTAATTTCTTCGTAATTTCACGAGCGCATTTTCATGTTTGAATTATTTGATACGTTTTAACCAGTAATCACACCGTTAATCCTTTATTTTAAATCGAACCAAAAATCTATTAGCACCACAAAATTTCACGAACTTTTATGAATGATAATCATCGATTGAAGTTCGTGCAATAATTTTAATCTCTTGGTAATTTAACAAGTGCCATTTCATATTTGGATTATTTGATCTTTTTTAACCAATAATCACACCGTAGATCCTTTATTTTAAATTGCACCAAAAATCTATTAACACCACCATATTCCACCATCATGTAAATAAGTAAAACAGTTTCACTTACCTATTTTCATGTAATTAACAATCCGGGCACCAAAAACTAATAAAAATAATTTTTATATTCATATTTAATAATTATGAAACAAACATTAAAAACTTCTTCAGTCTTTTAATATTCCAATAAAATATAAATCCAAATAACAATTTTTTACAATCGCAAAGGGAATAAGCATTATATATACATACGAAAATTAAGTCTACTATATGTATATGGGACACATTATATAGATAATTTTATACATTTGTAAATAGGTTATATTAATTAAACATACAAAATGGTTTTGAACATGGTATACTATTTACTGTAATCCCCATCCCCAAGTTTAAAATATTGTTACATATTATTTTAATTTCAAATTATCACTTGGAAATGAAATAGTTCTTGGCAATTTTGTAGATGATGGGACTGTCAATGGGAAGGAGAAGGAGTGGGGATGACCTTGTACTATACTAAAAAAGGTGGTTCTAGGTGAGGCCGATTTTTAACCCACCCCCCACCCAATTAGTTCCCCGCTCTCACCTTCAAATTCTTTTTTAATGCTGTACTAGTCACCCTCCACCGCTTCTTCCCTCGTCCAACTGATAGTCCCATCATCTAGACAACCAAGTACCTATTTCTTATTTTACTTTTGACACATTCAATTTTGATCTTTTTTCCTTCTTATCTTTAATTCTCCTCGTCGTCTTCTATGACTAAAGTACTATTACAAGTGGTTGTTGGACATACCCTTGCAGTCCCCCTCTTCTGACTATTTTTTTCCTCTCCAAACCTGGTTCCACATTTCATGCATTTAAAAATAACCATTCGATTATTCTGGGTTCCCATGATTGACAGGAGATTACTGAGGTGTTTCGACAATTTTTCCGCATCTTCCTCGACCATATCATATTCTCTTTGCTTTTTGTCACGTTTTACAGTGTCGAATTCGAGCGAAATTAAAACAGGATCGGATCCTGAAGCGCTACAGGCCAAAAGACTGTCCAAAGGCCAACGGGTCTTCTCTTTTCCACTATCACAATCCCGTTCCCTAATATGAGTGTTGGTGACCACCAGGAAAATGGGTTCAGTAGTGCCCTTTATGGGGAAAAATTGAAATTAGTTGATAGCGTGGAAAACAACGTATTATATAAAAATGTTTACACTAGAAATTTACTATTAGATTACTAAGCCTTTTTGTTCATGTTGAATCAAGATAAGGCTAGATTCAACTGTGTATGCCAAAAAAAAAAGAAAATAGATTGAATGGTTAAGGTTAGTCAATAACTTTTGAAGTTTATGGTTTTTCTTTTTCGACAAATATATTACGTTATTGTGGAAATCACCCCCCTCCCCAAATTTCGTAACTACCTTGGGGCAGACCAAATACAAATTTTCCTCCCCTTGCCCAAGAACGTCATCGTCATCATCGTCACCATCGTAATCATCGTCAGTACCGGGTTGTAGTGCATTTTCATTATTTCCATGAGTTGTTGTTTCCGACGCGGTTGTGTACGTTTCTGTACCATTCATAGACTCTTCAGATTTGAGTTCACTTCCATCTGGGACGTTTTGTTGGGAGTAGTTTGCTTCGAATGTGGACAAAAGTTGATCGTAGGGAGATGACGATATGATGGGGAGAGACTTTTCGAGACCAAGAACGTCTTGTACAGAGGATTCTGCAATATAGAAATAATAACGCCGATCGATATTTAGAAGGAAAAGATCACCGAAATAAATGGAATTTCGTAAGAAAAGTATGATTGTTATTTTTTGTAAATTTTGCTGCTGAGTTTCGTAATTGATCAAGTACCTACGCAGGTTGACACGCGCTTTGAACTTTATGGAAATTGATGGTGGATAATGTGACAATTTTTGTAATACATCTGCGAAAACTACCAGCATAAATAGCTTTCTTTAAGTTTGAAACTGACCTGCTTGTAACCATCGTTCTCCATATTGTTTCCTTAACTGCTCAATAGTTCTCTTTGTTTCCAAATGGTCATTTGATATCAGTAACGAGGCGATAGATGCTATACTGTTGTCCATTTCTGAGACTGCATCAACACCTTCCGAAATAGTAGCGGTTCTAACTCGCCTAGGACGTTCCGTTGCCACCAAGGTGGCATTACTTAGAGAAGATGAAAGAGATTCCATTTGATGACTTTGATAAACTGGTTGGATTCTACCGCAGTTTTGTGATTCGAGTTTGGTGAGAGCTTTCTGATCTAATAGGAAACGTACTGTGGCCGTATTGGAATTTAGATAGCACACACTTCTTATTCTGTGTTGCGGATGAAAACTGAGGGGATTTCCCTTCAAATTTAGCCATTGCAACGTTGACAGATGAGTAAGAGGAAGAAGTGAGTGATGGTCAATGAGACAATTTTCGCTTAGATCAAGTTCGCAAAGATTCACCAAGTTTACTACGTTTGCTAGATTATCGATGAAATTGTTGTTTAAAATTAACACCTGTTAAAAGAAAGAGTAACACCTACATTTAATATAGCATCAAGTAAGTATAGTGACCACTTATTTATGGAAGAAGGATGAAAAGAGAATTGTTAGTAGGGAAAAATAATCTGAGGCGATTAAGATAATTATATCAACACTAATTAATTTAAACCCTTTTTTAATTGAACAATTACTCATAAGGATAAGGTAACAAAATGAAACAAACTAATATTTTTAATTAATTTTCACTATCTTCAATGCCCATAAATGTAATGAAGTATACAAGACATTTTTCTCCACGTTTTATAAACAGACATAAAAATAATAAATTGCAACTGGATAAATTAAATATCACACACATTACGAATGAAGAAATGCAAACAATTAGCATAATTAATTTATTAATTTTATGTTCTCAATTTCTTTTTTATATACAAATGTGATGCAAACCTATTTTTTATAATGATTTATTTTTATTCACTTCTGATAAGTAATCAAAGAAAATTGTAACTTACCTGAAGACGACTGCAAATCTGTCCTGAAAAATTGGGAATGGCTTTCAACTGATTATAACTCAGATTCAAATGTTTAAGATTTAAAAGACAAGACAGTGGTTGAGTTTCTTTGATGTTATTATGACTTAGGTCTAGCGTGTTTAATAAAGGCACCAATTCTAAGCTGCTGTCCAGATATGAAATATTGTTATGACTAAAACTAGCTTCTTTTAGTTCACTCCAGATAAATCCCTGACTATCATCACAACCACATTTTTCTAGTATTTCACTAAGAGTTTCCAAAATCCACCTGCACACCAAAAATTGAATTTGTGCTCGTAATGCTTGTATCCCTTTAATCTTTTTCACATTTAGTTTATATAATTCAAGCAACTTAACATTTTTAAAAACAGATATGTCCACACTGTCTAGATCATGATTAGGGGGGTTGTCACAAACAATTTTCAAACTGGAAGTTCTTTGAAGAAAATCATGCAAAAATTGGATGTCAATGAAAAAATTCGTTTTAATGTTACTGCTATTGATGACTTGAAAAGAGGAAGTCATAGAGTCCTTTTGATCATTTAATAACATAAAAGAACTGTTGAGACTCCGCATAAGTGATTCAGATAGGATTAATTTGCACTCCGAATTAAGTATCTTATCACCGTACTCACGAAGAGTTCTTGCTAAATCGGACACAGCACTGTTTTCCATTATTATAAGAATTATAAAATGTTTAAATTTCTAAAACAAAGAATGTTATTAATATTTTACTATTCATTGATAAGGTTATGTTATGACATTTGTTGACGGTAAACAGCTGATTGTCAGAATTTTAGGGTTATCCTTTTTATCTTTAATAGTTGCTTTCAAAGAAAGGGCCTGTTTTATAATTAAAAGAGATTTATATATAACATAGAGTAACGTTTTAAATGCTGAGTAATAATTACAATACAAAGGAAAGAAGTGTTTGTATAACTTTTTAATAATTCAGCTTGTGGTTGAAATGAAGAACGCACCCACAGCATATGGGTCAATGGGTTTTGATGTATGAATAGTTCTATTATCTATGGAATATTATGAGGAGGGTTATGTTTACTTGTCAAAAGGGAGTTACTTCCAGCTATTTTAATGATAATTAATAAATAAACATTATCTAACATTTAAAATGGGTAGCCGTAAAGATAGAATAATCCCTATTGTGTTAGAAGAAGCTGATTCAGTTAGTGAAGCAACTAGAACACTTCGCAGTAAGACTGTTCAAATTCCTTCTTCATCTAATCGTGAAACATTAGTAGCACAGTCCCAGAGTATTAAAGAAATGAAATCACAGGAGGAATCTGCCTTGGATTTACGTGAATCCCTACCTAGTTTTAATGTTCCTGAGAAGATTATAATTGCTGTTGATAGAGTTCAAGATGATAATTGCTCAGAATTTGTTACATCTGGAAAGTCTTACTCTCCTTTAGTGATGGTGAAGAAGGCAGTTGAGGTTTTCATACATAATAAGGCAATTTTAAACTCGTCTCACCAATTTGGACTTATGGGATTGAATGAAACAAATGTTGATTGGATACAGGACTTTACCAGTTCACCGCAGGATATAATCAATAGTGTAAATGCAATGAAAGAGTGTCAGACTGAAGATATTTTTGATTTAAGTAGTGTTTTTAACATGATCAATCGTAAAATTGCACTGAATGTTGCTAAAAGTGATGTGGACGATATTCCCAATTTCGTTGTGAGGTTGATTTTAATTTATGGGAGATCATACACCATACCAAAATTAGAAAAAAGTGAAGAAATCGAAAAGTTATTGAACTGTCCTTATTTTACAGTGGACTGCGTTATGACACATGAACCAGTTAGTTCTGCTAATAACTGTGATACAATTTTTCGACAATTGCAGCAATTGGACAGGAAAGGTTTCTCTTATTGTTTTGCAGTTGCACGGAATGCTTTTGATTTATATGTTTCTATGGCAAAACTTTTATCTCATCCATTGCAAAGACCTCCACAAGATGATGCAAAATACTATTTAGAAAAGTGTACCGAAGTTTAATTATAATAAATTTGATTCTGACAATATAACAAATGCTTCTTTTTATATTTCCATTACTTTCGTCTATTAATGTTTATTATTAATTACTATTTATTATCTACACAAACATTAATAAGTGTTATTTAAACAAACAAAGTAAATTCAACATAATTATATTAAATGTTACAAAAAAATGCAGTTTATTGAAGAAGCTGATGTGCTTCGCAGTTACCATTGTATTATCATTATTTTGATGATTAATAAATAATTTTAGATAAGTTCTTAGAGTTTTTGCACTTGAATGTTTATCCCATTTACACTATTTTTGTTTATACAGTTATTATAAAGCTTGGTAGCTATTAAAACAATATACATAAAAACTAAACAGTAAACTGAATTAAAAGAAAAATAGCTTTNGCATCCATTTGACAACTGACAATACCTAATTATAAATATTTAAAAAATATCTTTATGGTTCATTAATAGATGGATCTGGTGGCACAAATGTTTTGGCGTGAATTGAGCAGTTACTCGTAAGATGGCGCATTAAGGTACAATTTCAATTTTTTTACTGAGGAATTCCCAAATGTTGTTGCATGTATTATAATATTAAACCAAATTTTATATCGCCTTTACATTTAATATTGATCTTATAATGAAATAAACTAAGTGCTTATACATTTTTACTTTGTTCCTTATTTCTTAAGCATTGCTTTTATATTTTAACATTTATTAAACAAAACGAAACTATCTTGATTCTTAAACCTTCGCATAAACTTTTAATTTTAAATCAAATACACTTATATTCTTCCTCTATCTTTTGCCCTCCTATTCTCGTTTTTAAAATTTTCTTTAATTGTGTCGCACTTGCCTTATGCTCCTAATATTTCTTTGTATTTAGTCCCTACTTTTTGTTCAATATCCTCATTTATAACATGACTTGCATATAAACTCTCATTTCTTCTTCTACATTTTCTGCCATGTTCTCACTTCTTCTATTCAAACAATATTAATTTATTCTTATTGCATTCATTACTGTAACTGTTATATCTTTGCTCTCCCTCAAATATAGTGCCACCCTTTCATCCCTTCCGCATATTTTAACATTCTTAAGCATTGCCATCTTCCAATCTCATGACACCTTTTCGTAATGATATTACATATATATCTCCTTTGTTTTTCCATTCTGCCAATGGCTCTTTAGTTATCATCATTCCCACCAACGCTTTTTTCATTCCTCATCATATTATCTCCTCATCCCAAAGCCCATGATTTTTTTTCTCTATATCTCCCTCCTTGTGACTCCTTCCTGTAAAAGCTCTAATTTTTCCTTATATCTGATTGCTCTCCTCTCTTCCACCATTTCTCCATGTTTCGTTTCTCTTCTTAAGATAGGTACTGTATGACGTGCTTCTTTGCATTTTTAACATCCATTGTATGTAGGTACTATTTATACCTAAATATATTCTCCCCTTGATTATAACTTTTCCACCCCTAGATTTTCATCCCATACAAGATTACATTCTTATTACTACTGTGTTAAATAAAAGCATCTTTCTTTCCTAATTGTTTCTACATAATTTTGTTCCAATTCACCATATTTTTCTCATTATTGCATTTACCATTCTTATTTGATTGTGTATATGTCCATCATCTCCGTTATTTTCTCCCATCATATGTCCTAGGTACCTAGTTAAATTTTTTAATCTTCTTTATTGTCATACCCTTTCGTTTTACTTTTTCTACTTCTTTCTTTTTTTGCCCCTTCTCTGGCCAAATTCTATTCTATTGATCTTCTCCCTATTTAATTCTAAAGCTTTCTTCTCTAAATATAATTCCAAAAATAATCTTTTTAAAACCTACCCTCAAAACATTTTCCAGGCTTGTTTGGAAATGCCAATGAAGACATAAAAAGGGATTATCTACATATTTCCAAATGTTGCACCTAAACTTAACTTTAAGTACGCTTTGGGCGTCCAAAAAATTATTGCTCTGATTTAACAGACCGACAGACGGATGGACCAAAACTATAAGAGTTCCTAATTTGCTACATGTTTAAAAATTTGTTCTCCTCCAATTTGGTAGAGGTAATTTGGAATGACATCACCTTTGACTAAAAAAAGAGATCTCCAAATTGACAACTAACATTTTCAACAACGAACACGTGTTTTACCCGCTTTATCGGGTTATGTCAGAATCAGTGATGATTTGGGGTTGAGACCCTCCCTTTGTTTAACGATGTTTATCAGTAGATAATTGAATATTTACGTACGAGGGTGGATTGATAAGTTTCCGGCCTAACCAAGAGATGACGCCACTAGGCCTACCTTGAGGTGACATTCTATAGTACCATCCTTGGATAGCTTGTAGCTATAGTTTCAGCCCGATCTCCTTGCTAGTGTAGGTTTGACAGCACGCTGAACAAGACGCCTCTGTGGTTTTCGTAAAAATGGAAAAGCAGGAAAATCGTGCTGTCATCAAATACTTTTATTTGAAGGGGTTAACGCCGAAGGAAATTAAAAAAGAGATGGACTCAACACTGGGGACATCCTCCCCGTCATATTCAACCGTTAAGCAGTGGGTTTCCGAGTTTAAAAAGGGTCGTGTGAGCACCTCTGATGGGCCTCGCTCAGGACGCCCCGTTGAGGTCACAACTCCAGATATGATCGAAAAAATTCATCAAATAGTGCTGGGAGACCGCAGATTGAAAGTGCGTGAGATAGCTGAGACCTGTAAGATGTCATATGAACAAGGGCAACATATTTTGCACCAACATTTGCATATGGAAAAGCTCTGTGCAAGATGGGTGCCGCGTTTGCTAACAGTCGACCAAAAATTGATTCGAAAAAACATTTCTACCGCAAATTTGTCATTGTATAAGCGTAATCCAAGCGAATTTTTGCGTCGATTCGTAACCGTTGACGAAACGTGGGTCCACCACTACACTCCTGAAACCAAAGAACAGTCTAAACAGTGGATTGGACCAGGGGAACCAACTCCAAAGAAGGCAAAAACAATTTTTTCGGCGAACAAGGTTATGGCTACTGTTTTTTGGGATGCAAGAGGTATTATATACATTGATTACCTTGCAAAGGGTAATACTATCACTGGTCAATACTACGCAGACTTATTGCAACGTTTGAGCCACGAGGTGAAAATTAAACGACCTCATCTGGCGAAGAAAAAAATCTTGTTTCATCACGATAACGCACCAGCGCACACGTCAATCGTTGCGACGGCTAAAATCAACGATCTAAAGTTTGAATTGATGCCGCACCCTCCTTACTCTCCAGACCTAGCCCCGAGTGACTATTTTCTGTTCCCTAATCTCAAAAAATGGCTTGGCGGTAAGAGATTTGCGGACAATGAAGAAGTAATCGAAGCTGTAAATGGTTATTTTGAGGAGCTTGACGAATCAGTCTATAGAGATGGCATTAATAGACTGGAACACCGCTATGAGAAATGTATCAGCCTTGGAGGAGATTATGTTGAGAAATAAAAAAAAAAAATTTTTAAAAACCTTGTTTTTCTTGGTCAGGCCGGAAACTTATCAATCCACCCTCGTATTTACCATGGAGTTGCATGTCGTGCTTTACAGTAGGTGCAGCGGAAAAAAGAAAGATGAAAATACTGTGGATAGAACGGATTAGTAATCAGGAGGTCTTCTAAAAAGTAGGATAGCAAAGGGTGCTACAGAAGTCAACATGGAAAAGGGGAGATAGAATGTTAGAGATAGGAATGCTGTAATGGTAAATGTGGGAATCTTGTGGGTCATGATCTCAGTTTGCGCTGTGTCAAACCTCTGTCTGTTTATTGATTTCCACTTCTCACTAATAACAATATTGGTCATCCTTCTTGGTATATGGTTAAAAGTCCAGTCAGTACAATATGGAGACTGTCCAGGATATTTTAGAGTACTTCTAGGATACCTTCTATGACATGAAGAGCTAATCACAGACATGCTCACAAAGGGTTAGGGATGTCTTAGTTCTTGTGAAATGCGAAGATTATCTGAAGATAGGAAGAAGTGGAGAGGTAATTCATCAATTTTTTTCCATTTTATCAATGATTTTATAGCAAACTATTCTATTTAAAAAAATATTACTAGTAAGTAAAGTCATTGTCATTTTATTAACGTTGTGCTTTTCTTTGAAGATTGCATTAATTTTTACAAATGTAAACAATTTCAAACTACACAGGATGGGGCAATAATAAATAAAGGGACACATTTTATCGTTACGTATATAAATTATATTTAGCCATTGATGGTATAAAACAATCTTGTACAAAAAAATACGCATCACATATTTTTGAGCAAATTAATATTTATTTTATTAACTTACAAATAGATAAAGAAAGATCTAAATATTATAAGCTTTATGTAATTTTTTTGTAACAGCAATAAAAATCGTTAAATTATTCATATCATATCAATAACATATAAAAATTGTAATTGGCAACTTATGACATTAATATGGAATATTTCCGAAACTATTAATTTGATTGCTTTTTAGATATAAATTATAGATTATTTAAGTTAAGGCACAAATATTTCAGAGTTGTTTTTGTCACTTTTTTAATAAATTTTGTCATGTCGGCTATCTTCTGTTGTGGGTCAAACCAAACTAAATAATCCTCAATTACCATTTCTACGGATTTTATAATCCATTATAGATTATACGTAAGTCACGCGGTATTGTAGGAAAAGTTGGAAGTTTTACATTTTCTTATTTATAAAGAGAAAGGTAAAATCGATATTTTTTAATCGATCCCCTATGACCAAAAGATTCCAAAAAGTTCTTAAGCAACCTTAGAACAGTACACTTTTGGCAGTCCCGATAAACTAGCGATCAAATAGGGGAAACACCTTCAGAGCAGGTTGATATAATAACCATTTAGTTAATGATATCTAGTGTTAACTGAAATATTTCATATTTATAATATGTTTTAAAAGTTATTCACAAATAGGGACATTCTCTGGAATTTCGTTATGATAAAAAATTGATAAATATGGAAGATGAAAATAAACTTTGCTTTTGTGCCTAACTAAACATTTAAATCATTCTGTTAACATGAAATTAATCTGAAGGAAACACGTATCTGTTCATGTATGTACTTAGGAAATTACAATAGAAGATATCACATCAATTGTACTAGTGGCAAGATCACGGCAAGATTGATTACGTATTCACTACCAAATGTTCCGCTTTCATTTTCACATTTATTTGCAAGAGTTTCGGTGAAGTGACAACTTATCTTTCCTACTAAATTCCTTGTTACAATTTGGACACTGATACGGTTTCAAGCCGCTATGAAGTTTTGAATGCCTCGTGAGGTTTGATTTGTGACGAAAATCTTTCCAACATGTTTCGCACTGATAAGGCGTATCACCCGTATGTGTACGCACGTGTTTGTTCAGATCTCCCCTATGAGAAAAGTTTTTCGAACAGTAGGAGCATTTCATCTCTTTTTTAGTTTTGAAACTAGGAGACCTTTGAGTTTTAATAATACCACTACTGGTTGATGGCATCACGTCTTCCGTAAAAGTCTCGGTTTTCTTTATCACAGATTTTGAGGCAATTATTGTACCGTGTTCAAAGGAAGTTGATTGATGACAGTTTTGTTGTTCTTGCTTCACGTAGAGCTTGGTTTTCTCAATTGCTTCTTTTGCCCGTGTTCTTTGTTCGTTTTCGTATTCCCGCTGCTCTATGACCTGAACCAGCAAAGGCAGGTCACCATGTTTGCTGTGGCAATCTTGACATCGGCAATCGTATGAGTGGGATTTGTCGTCCATTTGCTTGCATCTGATCCTTGGATTTGGTGGAAGCCATTTATTACGACAATAATGGAAATTGGGTAAAGTTTTCTGCAAATATGAGAATTGGAAATTAAAAATCTCCGCTGATAAAGAAACGCTTAAATTTTTATGTTCCCATAATAATCAAGTTAGTGATCAAGGAAGATAATTAAAAACAAATGGCCGATCGAGAATATGAAAGTATTGAAAATGGCAGTATTTCGCTTTTCCCATTCATAGGAGTCGAAGGTTTTTGAATGTTGTATGGTTCAAGATTTAAAGTTTTCTATTTAACCTTTAATCATCAAACTTATGATAATTTAGACAAAAGCACCATTGTTACTGTTTTATAGCATAAAAAATGACTCTGATCCTTGGAAGAAATAAATCCATCGGAAGTAATAATTATTCGTTTGGTCTTGTGGTTTTGGTGTTAGTCTTGCATATTCGGTCTTAGTTTGAGTCTTGATTTTGTTAGTTTGGTCTTGGTTTTACTTTTGGTCTTGAACTTGCGAGTAGAAAAACATTCTTCATCTTGGTCTTGCGAGAATGCATGACCAAGAATAAAAACACAATTGTATCATTTAGACTTCAATAAATTGTTTTGGTGCTCAATTCTCAAGTCTTATGATTTATACATTCATAAGTGAATTTAAGAAAAATGCCAGTTAATCAAATAGAAGCCATTCGTCAGTTTCTCCTGTTTTTCTCAATAACTATATAACTATATGTATTTGAATTTTAAAGATATCAAAACTTTTTTGTTAAATTTTTAATTAACTAAAAATATGTATCAGTCCAATACCCAATATCTTCTTTGCACTAAGAAGCATGGATCTAATAATCGTTTGGAACATTGTTGTTGTTATCTCAATGAGTACTATCAATTTTGTTTGCTTTTCCAACTGTTTGAATATTAACAAATTAAGGATAATATCTGATAATAATAAATAATTTAACCGCTTCAAATTTAGCAGCCTTTGTTTAAAATAGTTTAGAAGACCTTATTTAACATAATCTAACCTATTTTTTTCGTAGATAGCTGCATATCTTAGCAAAAATCTTTCAAATTCTTTTAAAAACAAAGAACCATTTGTACTATTTATTTAGTAGTCCTACTTTTTATTATGTTTATTGAACATATCACATTCTACCAACAGTGTTAGTGTATTTATTGACAATAAACTTTTATTTTGGGATTATTATTATTGGTTGTTTAATAATAATTTTTAGTCACAAATGTACGATTAAATAAATATATTCAAACCGAGTATTGTTATTGTAAAAGTTCTGTTAATCGTGTAAAAGTTCTTTAAGAATAAAAACAAAAAGTATATATAATAAAAATAAAAATTCAATTTCTTTACTATGGTCATGCCTAATTAGTAAAACAATTTTTTTTAATTTTCAACAGTTGTTAGAATTTAAGTCTTAGGGCTGCTCTTTGGTTTAAAAAGAAAAAAGATTTTAGGGGTACTCTGACACAGCAGAATTTTATAAAGAAAATAAATAGATAACAGTGTCACTCACCTGATCTAGCACCCGACAAACCTCTTTTCTATATTCGCGATTCGTTTCCGAAACGAATTTGCTCCGTACACTGTCTGTTGTCACCATAATTGTAAATCGAAATAAAAACTGAACTCCAAGTAAATTTTCCCGGGTTGTCGCGTCATCGGATTTTTGAATTTGTTATACGCTTGCGTGAGAGAAAGGAGTGCGTCGGGTAATACCGTCTAGCTAACGGGGAAACCCACTGAGAGAAATGTATCTACTGTACGACGCACTTTTAAGAGTATTACCATCAGACTTACATTAATTGCAAGAACAGATAATAAAAAAATGAATAGCGATTAGAAGAAGGACGAATACTGTTTGGGTTAACAATGGAATGGAAGACATTGTTGTTTATTTTTAGCATAAAAAGTAACTTTTTAGTTTTCCTTAGAGAAGTCCATACATTAATAGCTTCGTTCTGTACAGTATGACCTCATGCTCGGCGGATTTGTACGAAGTTAATTTGAATTCCTTAACCAAATTTGCTCTTTACAGTGGTTTATTCAGAGGGGAATTTAATAAAATGATGCTAGCGATTCTGTAAACATTTTTAAATTTTGTCTTTTGTTTTTTTGGAAAAATGTTCCAGAAAGGCATAATCTAAGACTTCAAAGAACTGTCACTCAGGCAACTCTTTTTAATGACTGCATGTGAAATGACAGTTTTAATATTTCATTTAAAAATTTCAAATTGTCGGTAATGTTGGATTAAATATCAGAATTCATTGATAAATAATAAATGAATTTACAAAGCTATTTAACGTAAATACTTAGGTGCATTTCTTTTTATTAAATAATTAAGTATGTACTTAAAACGAAATAATCAATCAGAAATTATTTTTAATATATTATTGTGCTATTATTGCTTAATGTCACATTTTATGAACATGTGTTTGTAATTTCCTGTAATTTTAATTCATTAATATGTATGTCTTGGGTCATCAAATGACTTTCAACTACTTTTTATCTAAATTATTTAATAATATATTTTAACTTTCATTCTTTTTACCCACATAAATACTTAGTAACTGTTACTTAGTTCTCAAGAAGCGTTTACAAAAGTGGAACGTTGACTCTAAATATCATGTTTAATAGGGAACTTTTTATAATTTCTTAGTTTAAATCGTCTTTTTATTGTTAAAAAACAAAGATGTGTAAAAGGTATATTACATCATTCATACATTTATCTATAAACTGAACCAAGAAGACTAGTGCAGGACTGGAACATTAGAGCACAAGATGTAAGAACGTCTCCAAATTGTGTTGGGCAGTCCGCTGCGCACCGAGGCAGTGCGCATCCATTTGACAACTGACAATACCAAAATTGATGCTCAGTCCCTTTTCGCGCAGCGGACTCTTGCGTTTTCTGTCCACACGTTTTTGTAGACACATTCGCTTTAGGTTGTGTTCCATCTTTTTAAACTAAACATTTTAAAATTAGTTTAGGATATCCAAGAATTACGAAAAGGCCAGGATATAGAGCTTGACGAGCTACTTTTATCTTTGGGAAATTACATCGAAATTTCTGACGCCATCTTGGTTTATTGTTTTATACGAATGGCGCTTGCAAAATAATTTGCATTTTAGCTTGTGATAGACTACTATTTTTAAGATGAACTATAAAATATATTTATTACTGCAGCATTTTCATAGACTTTTNCCAAATCTTATAAAATATGATAATAATGCTTTTATCACTTAATAAAATGTTACTAATAGAACAGTTTTTATAAACCAACTGGTTAAGTACTAAATTTAGTTTTACTGAGCCTAAACGTTGATTAAACTAGAGATAATTATTCATTTAATATATTTTATTCATCTATCAATCCATCCGATCCATACATATATAAATAAGTACATATCTTTTATTGGTGTAAAAACCATGCCGATCAGAGAATTGTCTAATTCCTTCGACGGGGAAACCTGAAAAAATCGGGGAATTATTTTCTGAAAAAGTAGTAGCCAATACGTAGATTACATTTAAGCATTTGCCTCATAATCCGGTTTCTAAATTACAGTTAGAAATGGAAAACGAGACGATCTTACAGACATGGATCTTATACTTTCATTCTTACATAAATATGTATCTAATATGTATTCATACCTGTATGCGTGACGCCGTTTGATTACGTCGTGGTTCGTCATCATACCCATTTGTCGTCTTCATTGGTAAATACCAATTTTTGTGCGTCATGCCGACAGACAGTTCCACCGCAGGCAGAAGTTCATTAACTTAATATTATGCGTTATTAATTCATTTGCGGAACTGTTCTATCGGAAACTAATTTTTATTCTTGGAACCAAACTATTACCATGTTCTTGTATCTTTTCCCATTGCGTCAAAATTAGTCCATTTCTTGTTATATAGAATCACTAGTAATACACCTAGTAGTTCCTTTTGATATAGAGGTCAAGTGGTGCACTTAAAAGAACGTATTACATGCACTTTGAAAGTTCACAACTCTTATCTGGGACATTGCTTGACACATTATTTATTTCAACGTTTTTTTCATTGGGTTATTTAGACGCGGTAGCAGTTGGTTACTCCTGGAAGGATTTTGATTTCGGATAACAAAGCTAGAGTATGTAAGTATTTTTCAAAAGTACAAAATCTCCTACAATGGATCGAAACTATCATCATCATCGTGAGTCGTCAGTTCTAAGACTGGTTGGACACGCATCTCCACTCTTTCCTAAACTTCGCATTTCCCTGAAACTAGAACAAGCCACATCCTTAACTATTTGCGAGCAGTACTCTAGTGTAGGTCTACCTCTACCTCTCCTAATTCCCGTTTCTATCTTTAATATGTCCCTGACTAGCCCTTCATGCCTGAGAAGGTGTCCTCCTAACCTATGTCGCCTATTTCTTATTGACTTCCATAGAGTCCTCTATTCTCCTATTCTTTCTAATACTTCTTCATTCCTAACTATCTCTATCCACGGTATCCTCATCATTCTCCGGTAACACCACATTTCGAACGCTTCTAATCTTTTTTTCTCCGCCGGACCCACTGTCCAAGTTTCGCATCCGTACAGCGCCGCGCACAACCTTCAACAACCTTTTTCGAATTTCTAAATTAACCATTCGCGAGCACAGAAGTGAGTAGAAACTATAAATTATAAAATTCAGGCATTTATTTTCGTCATTCTGGAAAGACGGAGAAGAAAAAGAAAATTAAGAGCAAATAAATATATGTGCGTATCCAACCAGTCTTAGGACTGACGACCTTATGATGATGATGATGACTTCGTTTACGTTTTGAGATTTAGCCTTTAGTATTTATTAAGAGTAGATTAATAATAATAACTTGAGATAATTAATATTGGAGTTGGATTTTATAACCATCTCCTAACTGGTAATCCAGTAGTAGTTCCAAAATTTAAAAATGGACTTCGAAATCATCAATTTTGTGCTTCATAGGTCTTCTGCTCTAAAACATATTAAAAATCAACTTGCTACTATGACATTTTGCGATAATACTTAGAATTGTGTTATTCTCTCATAAATTTCCTGAAATATCAAAAATGCAATTTATATTAATTTAGAATTAAAATTCAGCCAGGCTGTTATCTGTTATGTATCTATTTTATTAATTAATTAATTAATTTATGTACATTAAAGACCATGCCGACAAGTTGGATGTTCAGTAGCCGTTGAGACTTCTGCTTTTGAAAGAAATGATAATATAGTACAATCACCATCAATATCTGCCTTATAAAATAAATCATATTTTCTATCTTTCTCTCCAAATGAAGGATGTAGTCGGTAATTCAGTAAAAAATTACATTACAATTTGAATGTAACTAGGTACTTACCTTCTTAGTAAATATTTTGATCACATTGTAGTTCAGCAACCTACCATTAAAAACTCTGAACTAAAGAAAAACTAGACATAGTGGTAAGTGTTCTATTGTTAAACTTTGTGTACATTAGGTACATGAAGTATCTTACCTACTGATGGAAAATCCAACCGCAAAAAGTTAAGTAGACCATAACAATTATTTATTTGAAATACAGCCAAAGTATGATCATTTTGATTGAAAAACATCATTCAATTGCAATTAGTATAATTCATGATTAGTTTTATATATTACCCAAAATTTATGACTAATTAACTTACTATCACAGGGTAAATATCAACTGACTAGTTCGTCAATTATTCTCACCCAAATCTTATAAAATATGATAATAATGCTTTTATCACTTAATAAAATGTTACTAATAGAACAGTTTTTATAAACCAACTGGTTAAGTATTCAAAATTCATAGTCATTTTAATGGAATCATGATTTTCTATCAAAATAACAACATTATAATATCAGATATTTGCCACGGATTTGTAGCAATTAATTCGTAACGAATTGGTTAATTTGTACTCATGGAGGTAATATGCTTATTTTATAGTTTATAAATAACTAATATCCATGTTATAATTATTTTAGCCATTTTGTATTACTTTTAAACTAACTAGACGCCTGGTACATTTGCAAACCAGATATCAAAAATTCGTAGTTTTTCAGGAGAAAATTATTTATGTTTATTGATACAAAGTCAGCAAGATAACTAGTGAAGGAAAATGAAAACGTATTTATATGTAGAAAACGTTAGATATCCTCTAGATAGATGAGCTGCATGGTCTGGAGCATTGTTACTATTGGGGGTGTAATCGATTCGATTCCTGGTTTGTCACCTCTGATCTAAGATTTTCCTGTGGGTTACTTGGGTCATTTAGGTAAATGCTTGGGGTAGTAATATCCTACCGATAAATTTTTCACCTTTTTGTTTTTATTTCGCCGTCCCATCTTTCTCACTCGAACCACCAGTCACCTATCCCCACGATTCCTAACAAGAGTTAGAAGAAGTCCATCCTCTCTACTCTCCGGCATAGCATTAGCAGCTAGCGGGAATGAAACCTCCAAAAGCTTTTTCTAAATACCTCATATACTCACTCCAAAACATAACAGTAATTAGAGTCCTAACTACTTTTCGGTAACAACGTTACCTTCTTCAGATACTGTAATTATTATTATAAGATTCAATCATTATTCAGATCTTTATGGTCTCTGAAGCTGCTAACCTTGTACCG